TATTGCTATACTATGTGTTAAAAGCAAAAGTTACAAATATAAACGTAAGTTAATTTCTTCTATTATAAACCTTGAATTTTGCTTTAAATTTTTATACTATTTTTAGAAGAAGCACAGAAAACTTTGGAAGAATCTATGGTTATGGACATTGATGATCGACAGCAATTGGCTATGGAACTTCATAGAACCAGAATGTCGAACAACAATTCTCTTGGACGGATGTCCATTCATAACACTTTACACCATTCACTGCACAGGCGGAAACCACCAATAGGAACTCTAGGAAAATCTCCACCAAGACCATCTCCAGCTAGTGTTCCTTACCATAGTGACGATGATAGTGTTAAAGGTTATGATGAAAATCCAGATGATAGTTCAGTTACTGAAAAACCCTCAGAAATCAGTTCAACAGACTCTCAAGTATGATATTTAATTATATACATATATATATATGTGTGTGTGTTAAAGGTTAGTGTTATTAATGATTGCTGTCTATTTAACTTCTAGGGATCGGAAAGTGAGAATGAAAGCGTGCGATCAGACCCGCACTCGTTTGTTAATCACTACGCCAATGTCAATGATTCTTTAAGACAGTCTTGGAAACGGCAAAAACCTGTTAGAAATTATTCTAGTTATACAGATTCAGAACCTGAAGGAAGTGCTGTTATGAGCCTTAATGGTGGCCAAATTATAATGAATAACATGGCCAGATCTCGAGCTCCACTACCAGGATTCTCATCGTTTGTTTAATTTCTTCTAGTGAGTGCCATCTTTACCAATCCGTCCGTGATTTTGTTTAATTTGAAATTACTTTGGTATTATTTTATAAATGTGTGTACTTTACTATGACTTATATTATAAACTGGTCAACCTTATTCTAAAATTGAAAAATATTTAAGTGTCTTTTCCAGACTGATAAATTTTATGTTTAATTTAGCTCTATAACAATTTGATCTCAATTCAATTTTTCTCTAGAAAAGGTTTTTACTTAAACTAAAAATTCATCAATAAATTTTAACCACATTTACTTATATCAAGATTAAAAGACTGATTGCTTGCTTGGAACTTATAAATTACATTTCAGTATTATTTTTTATTTAAATTACAATGATTTTCTGCATATTTTATTTAAATAGTTATTGATTTTATATTAATCTTGTCTACACTATAAGTAAAAATGCTATACTATTTTATAAAATAATATTAAAACATTACAATTTTACAATGTATTTCTAGTTTTCAATGCCATAACATATTGATAAGCTATGTTGTAATGTTGTATGTTTTAAATGAACATTTTAGGGTTTTAATTTCTTTATTTTTATAAGTATCTTGACTGAATTATCTTAAAACAAAAAAAAAACACATTCAATTGTGTCTAATGTGATTTGACAGCTGATCAAGATTATTTTAAACATCCTAATTTTTAAAGTAAATGTGGTTCAACAAATTTAATTGAATAGTTGTATTATTTCTAAAAAGTTGATAAAAATGTTGTTAATGTAAACTTGAGTGTAAATATTAACAATAATTGAATATCTAATGCTTTTACTATGTGTCTTTTTAAGTTGTGTATTTTATTGTAACTAATATAATGTCCCAAACAATTATTGGAGCATTAATTAATTTAAATTATAGTACTATTCAAAAACTGGGGGACCAAACAATACATTTTTTTTTGTAAATAATACTTTAATCAAGTATTATTAGTAATTAAGAGAAAAAAAAAGGTTTAAGTCAATTGTAAAAGAATTATTTTATTCGTATTTCTTTGTATACATTTACTAAAAAAAAAAATACAATTTCATTCGTTTAAAACTTTAATTTAGTACCCTAAGGTCAGTGTTACACTGGTTTGACATTGTTTTATTCAAAAAAATTCAAAGAACATCTTATTAATGTATTTGTATTTTTCAATAGACCTTTGTCAATTCAGAGTAAACTAGCTTTACATTTGAAATGTTTTGTGTTTTTTCTCAAGTAAATTTAAATTATTCAAATTTTAATTACATTTAAATCAATTTAAAACTAAAAAAAGACCAAATATTTTATACTTTCTTTTTTATGAGGTATATCTTATCACATTGCACTTTTACTATTATTTTTGTGTTTATTGTGTATTAGATTTTATATTTCAGTATAAAATGTAGTTTAGAATTACACTAATGTAGCTAATGGCTGTGTTCTACAATTGGTTTATGAACCTAGTACTTTGCAATCGTTTTCCATCATTATTACTATTATTGATAATAATAATTGTTACTTATTACGTTAAAATTATAACTTCATTGAGGAAGATATAGATAACTAGTGTCCTTAAGATGTAATATCACCTTTTATAAACAATGATATATTATTTTGAGTAAAATTAAAATCAGAACGCCATAAACATCAATTTCCAATTGAATTATATTATATGGCTTCTCTGTATTTATTCTATTAATCGTTATTTCAGAAAATACTACTACATACATTATAATATGTTATGTACTAGGTGATATTTTATGATCAATTATAAATAATAATCAAGTTGAAAAAAAGGATTATCATATTTAAACCGATGTCCAATAAATCTCGTTCCTTGTTTTACATATTTTATGGCAAATCATACAATACACTATAACAGGGGTTCTCAAACTTGCATAGTCACTGTACCCCTTTTTACCAATACAATTTTTTAGGTACCCTTTCTAACTTGTTTTTGGTAAACTACCAAAATATATAAAAAAAAATTTCTCTATTTAAATTTAAAGATTTGTTGGCCAGAATCGTAACCACTAAAAACGTTGAGTACCCCCAAAGGGTACTAGTACCACAGTTTGAGAACCACTGCAATATAATGTATTTTATATATTTTATATAATACACAGAAAAAAAGCTCTTAAATTCTTGATTTCCTATGAAGGTTTAAAAGTAAACACATCCGTCACAACAATGAGGCATAACAAATGCTATTAGATTTTATATTTGATTTTATTGACTGTACAATAATAGCTCATAACTCAAGAAGTGATCTTCACTGTATACTGTAAACGTGTTCAATACAATTTTTTTAAATTCATTATGTCAAAAATATTTTTAAGAAAATATTTCAACTATTTAAATTTTATACTTACTGAAATTGTATCGGTAAAATGTTGGTATTTACTATTCCTGCTATATTTATTAAGATAATGATCTTAAGTCTGTGTGCTCGAAACTAAACAGTTTTCCGATTTGTGATTTTGATTTAAATCTACTCTTTTGGTAGATTAATTTTGGTATCTGTCGAGTTTTGACCATGTAACTTACTAATTGTGAACAATTTGTTTTTCCCAAAACTGGTACAACTAAAAGTGCTCTTACTACTTAGTATATTTTGTTTTTTTTTAGTTTGAATTCACTGTTATTGTTGTAAAAAAAAGATATTTTGTGTTAAGTTATATCACTAAGATAAAAACTTACTCATCTTATCAAAATATTAATGTATTTTTTATTGCAATTATTTTTTCAAGAATGTTCACTGCTTACTATTTAGACAAATCAACTATGGTCCTATTTTTAAATTTTTATTTTAAATGACCAATTTAGTATTAATTATTTTTAACATTAGTTGTGTCTCATATATGAATTTAGTATTAACTTATAGAAAATTATACGACTAGCAGACTATGTACGTTTAGAACATAGATGGACAACTGTTAATTTAATATCATATATATTGTGTTCAATACCTTTTTAATTAAATCAACAAGTTAGCTGTAATAATTTAGTTATCAATATCTATTTTTCTAAATATTGTTTGTAAATGTTCATGTACATGTATTTTTATTTTACTTGAGTATTAAGTTTTGTACAATAATGTCATTTATAATTTTGTGTACTATTTTTATTTTATTTTTATCACTGTAAATTTACATTGTCATAGGTTATTGTGTGTATTTATATCAATACAATTAAATAAATGTTCATTTTAAAACAAAAAACTGTATTAATTTACTGAAAGATTTGTTTATTTGATGTTATATTTAGCAGATTTCTACACTGAGCCTTCTAAGAAATTTTAATACATATATTAGTATTTAATCTAGTTAATTTTAATCAATACCACGGAATATAAAATTATAGGTAGGTCAGCACATCTACAAATGTTTATGCATTTTTAATTTAAGTTCTCTTATTATTTATTATATCTTACAAGATTATAAATTGTTATCATTTTCAACTTCTGGCAAGAAGTACTTTTAGAAGATAATGGACCTATAATTTAATTTCTGAAAAACTTCAAATTAAATATTGTAGGGCTATGAGTATTATCATTGATTCAAACCCTTCATTATCAGTTAAAATTTTGGTAAATAGTGTATGAGTACTGAGTAGGCATATAAAGACAATTATGAAAGGAATTTTGAAAAGTATATCACAATATCTTGATCATAGATAGTATTCATTAGTATTTATTGTGAGACGTGGGTACTAAATTCCTAATAACTAGGGCTTAGATTTTAAATGCCTTAGAAATATGAAAAATGCATTTATGGACAAATAACTCCAAAAAATAATGAAAAATGGCCTTTTTAAAAATGTGCACCGCTAAAACAATGTTATTGTCCGATAAGAAATATAGATGTTCATCTTTTTATTTAATTGGTCATCAGTTAATTGGGATGTAATATTAAGACAAATTTGTGAATCATTTTATTTAGAAACTATAATATAGTTACATTACTCGTATTTATATATTATAAATATTTTTTATAATACCTCTAGGAATAGTTAAAAATTACCTTTAACGTCAAAAACCTCGAAAATAAACAATGACCCAAAAAAATTTTGTTTTTAGCATAGTCTGTACTTGAAACACATTTGTATATTGAAAAGAATATCAGAAAAAAAAGCAAATGCATGAAATCCGAGTATTACTAATAATGATTGGGTATTATCATATTATATTGAAGCTCAACCATTATTAGTATTGATACTTTCTGATTTAAATAAGGTTTAACTACATTAACACAATGGTTTAAGTACATAAATATTTTATTTTTTAAAAACAATTTCTCAGACATTTATAATTTTTGTGAAGTGCGATAACCATTTTTCTATCTTTGTTGGATGTTCACTTTTTTTATACAACAGAGACCAAATAGCAATATTTGTTATGTCCAATTTTGTATTCGAATCTGTGATCAGGTTGTGTAGTTCTGTAGTTCGATCATTTGCCGAACAACCAATTTCGTTTATTAAATCCAAAACCTTGTCAGATTTTATTTGATCAGCAGCAGTCAATGGTTGAGTGGCCAGATATTGATTAAATGACCGTAACAATGACACTTCACCGACTGATGAATCTGTTGGAGACCTGACCACTTTAGGGCTAGGTTTAACTAGAGAAAAAAAATGATTAGAATATTTATGAACATTTAAGTAATTTAACTATTAACTAACTGTGTTGCCATATAACAAAGACTTTAATAAGGCTCTTGGTGTCTATACAAGTCACATTCTTGAATGCTTTAATGGTTTCTAACGCCTTCAAATCTTTCAACACAGATGAATGCACATGATAAGAAATATCCCATGCAACGTCTGGCCACAAGATTGGTAAAGCTAATATAGAATAAGGTGGATCTTCTGGATCAGCAAATACTACTGTATCATTCTAAAAAATGTACAGTTATTTTTATTAGTTGGTAGTAACTATATTAATAACAATTCAAATTTTACTTTTATCAGATTTGAAATGTCATTATTTACAACAGACTTAGAACTGTTTTCGTGTTTTGTATTAACATTACACTGGGTTGATTGTTGTTTTTCTAGGATGGACACCCTGTCTTTAGCATCAGGAAAGTTAACATCTAATTTACTTAATCTGATTTCAAGCTGTTCTAAAATTTTGAGAACTTCATTTTGTTTTTCCAAAAGTACTCGGATTTCTTGATCGGATAATTGAGCATCATCATCTACGTCCTGCAACTAAATCAAAAAAAAAAAATTGTAAAAATTGACAAAATTTAAAGAACAAAATAGAAATTTAAATAAATCTATAACTAGGTATGTACTCTTGGCAACATTATTGATAAGAATTGGTTTTTCATAACAGTATCATTTAAGACTTTTTTTCATTTGATTCTGAAGGCCTTAAAAAAATTATAATTTTATAATATTTGCTCAGTCTGGAAATAATCGGAAAACTCGTTGTCGGACGATTGCTCATGCATATGGGCGAAATAAAACGGGAATAATACAGTGGCAGTTATAGTGACTTGACTGTTGAAAAACGTAAACACTAAAAATGACTTGAGTTGTAAATAGTAAATACCGTTCAAATGACGAATAACGCCGACCCATTATCAGACACGTGCGTTTAGGCAATCAAGCACATAATTTTTTTTTCTGTGGATCAAGTAACGTTGTTGGTATCTTCTAAGTATGATAAGGAATAATTTTGTCAGTACCTTAGAACAATCAATCTATATGATGATCATTGATCACCATGACACCATATACTATTAATCTAGTATTTCAACGACTGACAAAGTTTAATATTTGATTTGTGACCCTAAGGACGTAATTTGTGCAACACCGTTATGAAGCGTATAGCAATTCTCGCAAACCTATTCATTCAAAAACCGTGGAACCATCGACAAAATGGTGAGTTTACGATTTATTTTATTTATGAACCAGGCGGCGACCCCGCGAACAGAAAAGATGAGCATTTTCATCCAATTATCAGAAAACTTGAGACTACCGGATTGTCAAACCTTAGCAGATAAGTGGAAAACAGCAGCGGCACTAACCTCGTCACACTTGTCGCTCATCGGCACTCTGGAGAACGACATCTGTTGTAAGTCTTTGAGCTTGTACATGCGGCATGTGCTCTCAATCAACAAAGGCACTGGGACCACCGGTTTCAGCTTGTACATGATTGTGGAAATCGGCAGACGGACAGAAAAAACAGGTGACGATCAAAAATAGAAGTTGTGGTGCAGAATCAGTATAGAATCGAGTCTGGTTTTTCGTGATAATCCCAAATTCGGAATTCTGTATTTCCGAATTCTGTCGTTAATCGAATTACGAGTCGCAAGATAACAGCTGATGCAGCAGTTGCAGTCTTTAGCTCGTTATCACTGCGATGAATTGCTCGCTGCGCCCCTCGAGCAGTTCGGCCTCGTGATAAGGGCTGACAGTGTGACCAACCAAAAGTGGCCAACTGTTTAAACGGATCTTTGCTGCGGTGGCCTTCAGAGACTGATATTTGTGGAAACGATAGGACCGCTAAACCGGCCACCTCAATAAATCGGTGGCCACATCAAGTGGCCGGATAACTGGGATGGTATGCTTGCGATGACCGCCAACAATCGCGATGGAAAGCGCGGGGTGGCCGCTAGCCAATGGGAGCGGGAGAAGATTGCAGCTGCCGCGGCAGCGAGAGTTCATGGCAAAACGTGCTGAATGGGGGAGGTCGCGGGACGCGTCGTATTTCACCCGCACCGCCATGTCTGTCTCTCACAGCAACACGGTCTCCAGGCGACGGGAGTGAGTGAGACAACACGACCGAAGAACATACAACAGTACAACGACGTTATTATTGCTATGACTATTACTATTATTGTTATTTAGTATTCCGTGCCCGTTTTTTCTTTTATTTTTGTTTCGTTTTTTCTTCCCGTCGTGTCGTTTTGTTTTGTTTACGAACGGTTGCTTGACAGCGCGTGCCCGCCAGGCGACTGCCTGACCACGACAGCGACTTGCAAGCGAAGCGAACCGCCGCGGCCGACCACACGACTGCAGTGTGTGATAATAGTGTTTTCGTTACGGCACTACGTAACACGGTAATTTGCGATGCGAACGAGTGCGTCGAGTTCGGAGCCCCACGAAGGTCACCTGACCGCGTCTCGGCACCCGCCGTTGGCCCGTTAACGTCCGTTTTTTTTTTCGCGCGCTCACCGACGTCGCACACGCACTGCAGGCCTACCCGCGACTACGACACAGCTGTGCGTGTGCGCGCGATTTTTGTGTCCACGGATCGCGGGCACAACAATATCACAACACCGTCCACCTATCATTTCCATCGTTGTTGCCTGTTGGTACTTGGTAATCGGTATAATCCTGCTGCAAGACAATCGCGGTGATCTTCGCTGTGCGGTTCGTCCTCGGGGTGCCGTGTGTCGCGGCGAACTGCCCTGACCATATTATTTTTTTTATTCGACGGTTCGGTTATCGTCGGTTTACATCCGCCGCCGAATAACGGTCGCCAGTAGTGGTTGTTGTTGTTGTGGTGATAACGACCCAGACCATGTCCGGCAGACCTAAGCGCAGGGGCCGTCCTCCGAAAACCCCGGGCTCAGACAAGCCCAAGTTTCAGATGCACTTGCTGAAAAAACCAAAGTATCTTCAGAACCTCGAGACTGTGGATGTTGTCCAATCTCCTACACCTGGCCGGTCTGTAGCTTCGAGACGCAGCGCTCCGGCGTCGGTTGGAGCTCGCACCGCAGTGGTTGTCGAAACTCCATCGCGTAACACACGGCGTTCCAACCAGAAGGCCAAGACACCTAAGACGCCAGCTGTGCCAAAACCTAGGGCACCGCGTCCGTCGACCAGCAAGAAGAAGAAAACTAAAAAGGCCACTGTCGACAAAAGTCAAGATTACCATTACGGTTCTGACTTTGATGAGTCTGAAAAGAGCGAAGAGCCGTCCGAGAGTGAACAGTCTGACACTAATGTTGAAGACGCTGTTGATGATGTTAGTGACAGTGATTTCTCTGTCTCCGGCTTTTCTGTTGCCAGTCGTGCACGTAAAAGTAATGTCTCCTACATCAGGAATCCCAGTCCTGAGCCGCTATGGCTCAGGGGTGAAGAAATACCCAAATTGGAGTTACCCAAATCCTCAGAAGATCTCCTAGTGCCTACTGAACACATCATGCAAGCATTGAGTGTCTATGAAGTGTTGAGACGGTTTAAAAGCCAGGTATATTGCATTTAGATACAAGGTAGTTTTTTTTCCATTCCAAGTTGTTTTTAAACATTTTTTGTTATAGGTGCGATTGTCACCGTTTCGATTTGAAGATTTTTGCGCAGCTCTTGTTTATGAAGAGCAAAGCTACCTGTTGGCAGAGGTTCATATAATGTTGCTGAAAGCAATATTGCGGGAAGAAGATTTACAGCAGACTCATTATGGTGCTGTTGATCAAAAAGATAGTATCAATAGTGTATTATATTTTATGGATACTATTACGTGGCCTGAAGTATTACGAGAATATATCGAGTCTGATAAATCATTTGATCCACTAGTTCTAAAAGTATTTAATAATGGCGATGAATATCCATTTACAAATATCAAAAATAGATTATCTGTACTGCAGTTTTTAACTGATCAATTTTTAACCTCTACTCTTATTCGAGAAGATTTTATTCATGAAGGTACTTATTAATATATAAATGGATTATCAAAAACTTTAAAAATTAATCATACAAATAATTGTATAGGCCACAGTTTTCAATATGATGATCATTGTCGAGTGTGCCATAAAGTGGGAGACCTCTTATGTTGTGAGACATGTCCAGCTGTGTTTCATTTAGAATGTGCTGAGCCTCCTTTACATGATGTTCCTACAGAAGATTGGCAGTGTAATTTGTGCAAAGAGCATAAAGTCATTGGAGTATCTGATTGTATCCCTGACGATGAGAAATCTGGTTTATCATCCCGCCAGGACCACTTAGCATATGATCGGCATGGTCGTAAATATTGGTTTCTCGTTAGACGAATTTTCATGTAAGTGTACTAACATTATTGATATTATGTCTACTAACATTATTTGTCTTGTAATATAGTGAAAATGAAGAGACTGGTGAATGTTGGTATTATACAACAGAAGAGCAGCTAGGCTTATTATTAGACTCTTTGGATCGTGAAATGGAATCTGCTCTTTTCAACGAAATAGAAAAAGTCAAAGAGGAAATTAATCGACAAATGAAAATAACTATGGACCTAACCTTACAGTATCGACCATCAAATAGAAAAACATTTTTGGATGTAGAAAACAGTGAGTAGTTAGAATCTTCTTCATAATAAAAGTTAACTGCATCAAAGAAATATTTTTAAAAAATGTACAAGCTTAGATCTAAGCAGTACTTGAATTTTGAAAAAATTAAAAAAAGGATGATAATGTGTAAAAAAAAAATGTAGTATGCTACCTATCAGAAAATATGAAGTACTTACTTTTATAGATATTCTATATTTTTATTTGATTTTATCATGGGAAAATACCTGTTACTTGTAATATTAGGATAAACAACATAGCAGCTATGCTTTATTATACTAATACTATAATGACCATCTCAATAACTGGTATATATTTGTCAAGACCCTTAATTAATTACTTTTAGATATTACCTACATTATTTTAGTCCATGTTGTGTTCTTCTACCAATTTGTATTAAGCATCAGATTTGTTGGACCGCCAACTAAAATAAAAATTGTGACGGTCTTTTAAAACACAACATGAATATTTATTTGAAGTTCTCTGGGATGGCTTAAAAACGAATTAACAATAATTGTATGTTATAAAATCCTTGACAATGATGATCAGCAATACATTAAGTACATTTAAGTTCAATCATTTTTATTAATCAGTAGGTATAATATGGTAAGCACGCTTAAAGTGTTTTTTTTTAGGTACCATACTATACTAGTACCAAAAATAATGTGCATACTTAAATATTTAAATGTTTTATTGATTAGGATATAATTAAGAAGGGTACATAAATATTTTTTTTATAAGGGCTGGAATTCAAGTACTGGGTCTAAATGTAAATCCTCTTGCAAATCTTTTAGCTAATTTAATTGGTAAGATAATATAATATATTCACAGAGCAAATAATACAACAATTTACCTAATATTAACCATTATATTTTCATATGATACATTAATCAAATTATCTTAAACAATAGAAACAATGCGTTTTGAAGTTTTTATCTTAAAAGTTATATTATGGAAACCAAAAGTAGAAAGTTCATACTTAAATAATAAGGTAATATTATTTTTACATTGAGAATTCATAATAATTCAATAATTTGGTATATTCCAATTGTTTCTATCTTTATTTGTCTGAGCACCAATGTCTGTTAAAGTTATAATCCAAAATCAAATTATACTGTAATAATAATTAATAAACTCAGTTTTAGAAAAATATTCAACATCTTTAATATGTTTATAACCCCAATTTATTGAAACATATTTAAATGTTTCAAAAGAGTAAGTGAGTCAGATAATTTGCTAAAAGCTTTTTTTCCGCCATTCATGATATATAAGAAATTCAAAAGTATATCAGTAGAAATCAATTATTCTGAGTTCTGAGGGTTAGTGATTTTTTCTTGTTATAACTCACTGCATTCGGTCAGAATAATGAAAATATACCTTAGGAATACTTATATGATGGGGATAATTTTAACACCCATAAACAATAAATAATAATACGTAACTTAACAATTTGGTCCTAAGTAAGGAAATATCGATATTTTTTTTTAAGTATGAATATCTGCCTTTGATATACACAAGTAAAAACATTTAAAATATGAGTGTTTTGTCATTCATACCTAAGTCTGAAATTCATATTTGTAGACTTGCCTCAATTACATTTTAGAAAAGATATACGATTATTTTACTGACAGAACCACTTAAATAAATAAATAAACCATTGTTTTCAGTATTCTCAGTTTCATTATTACTAAATATTTTATACTTCAATGAAAAACAAAAATAATATGACCGACTGATAATAATTTATATCTGTATATTATAGGTTATATAATAGGCATGCGAGAAGAGATGCAAAAGAAAAAAGATACAGAAATGAGTAAAAATGATAGTAACATTGAAGAAGGAAATGAAAATGTGAAGGGCGATAATGAGTCAAACAATGACAGTAAACAAGAACATTCAAATGAAGTATCAGTAGACAAAAATGGTATGTACTACTATTTGTATACTAAAATATGAAATATATTAAATATTGTTTTATTCTTATAAAATGCATGTTTAGAAAATGAAGGTGGGAGTGGTGACTTGAAAAATGATGATAATTTGATAGATGTTGATGATAGTGAACATAATCATAGTTTAAGTAAGTTGAAATTAATTTTGTTTAAGTCGATTCAAATAATTCAATTTAAAAATATTGTTTTTTTCTTTAGGGAGCACTCGTAACAGATCATTACGCCTAAAACCAGCTCAACGTCAAACACCAGAACAGACCAAAAAACCACCTGTGGTTGAAAAACCTTCTCCGGTTCATTCATACTTAGACAACTTAGGAGCTAGGGTAACTCGATTTAAAGCTCAACATATAGCAGCTGGTACCTATTTGTACAAACTTGGCATGGATAATAGCTTCAAGACATATGTAAATCAATACAGTTCAAATCCAACTGCATTAAATAAGATTCAAAAGAATGAAGAACGCGACAAAAAGCGATATATGTCTCACAAGTTTTCACTTACAGGACCTGGTGAATACAAGTGGTGTGGACAAGTATTTGGTATGATACTCGATTGATAAAACATATTTGATTATTCCTGTGCTTATTTCTTTATTTGTATGGTATTTTAGGCGCTCGGTCAACACTGATAAGTACTGTCAAACAAACTATTATTTCATTAGACAATTTATTACCATCCTCATTGATGCATATCAATTGGTCAGTGTTGCGCAAACCTTGGTTAAATCAAGTTAACTCGTGTTCTACTCCCAAAGATTTCGCTAGAGTTATGGTTGTTTTAATGTCTTGCATTAAACCAGTTGTTTATGCACCAGTTTGGCACGAACAACTCGGTAAACATATTTATTCTGTATTCGTGTTTATTTATATTTTCAATCTTGGCTTTATACTCATTAATTTAATGTTATTGATTCAGGGCATGTAAAAATTTATCGTATCACTCATGCGGAACGGGAAGAAAAGAAAAAAACAGACAAAAAAGATAAAAAAGATAAAGATGCTGAAGAAGATGAGCGTAATAGATTGACCATACATTTTGTCAAGTACACTCTAGGTTTAAAACATCAAGTGAGTAATAATGTAATTAACTTAATTTTGGGCGTTTTGCTAAGTAATTTGTATGTAAGGTTCACAAACAAAAAGGAGAAGAATATAGAATTCATGGTCAATGGGGATGGCAGTGGCTATCAAAAACCAGAGACTATAAATTGGCTGATTCCTCAAAACAGGGCTTAGCAGCTGGACCTGCCAAAAGAATTTTTCAAGGCAAAGGTAAATAACTACAATAATTAGCAACATTGGAATAGCTTGTTGCCTAAAAAATAAACAAAAAATATAGGTTCTAGGATTTTGAGGTTTTGAAAGCTTATGTAACCCTAACTGACCGTTTTAGTTTAATCTGAATAACACAATTTATTTTTATTTAGATGATAAAGGAGTGCGAACATTTTCTATCACCGAAACACTATATGACTCGATGATATTAAAAGAATGTACATTTGACTCAGAAGTGTCAAGTGAAATACCTGATGACCAAAGTGTCATACATTTAGATAATGTTTCGGGTAAAAATCCTTTTGAATGAAAAGATTACTGAAGACTTTGTTTTATAATTATGTCTCTTATTTCAGATATTGATTTTATAAATATGAAAATTCTTTCACCCATTGACAAACTTGATGAAAACATCAATATTAGTAGTACACTATGTTCTTCTAGTCGTATAATGTATCCTAAAGTTGCTAAAAAATGTAAAACTGACATGTTATTGCCAAGACGAATGCAATTAAAATTAGCTGAAGAAAGATCAATTATGACAAAAAATGCCATCACTCCAAAACCAACTCCAGAAGTAAATATTTAAATATTAATATTAAAATTAAAGAAATGAAGGAGTGAAAACTAGCTTACTTCCAATATTTTTTCATACATCAAAAAAATACTACATAATATAGTTTAAAATTAGCATATAATTATGTAAACCCTTAATAAGTTATAGTTTCTTATATCCCAAATTTATTGATAGTAGTATCATCGGCAATTTGTATAGAAGTTAATCCATTTAAGAGAGTATAATTTAAGCTACTAGTAATCCAGTTTCATGATTTTTTCTGCTTTTCAGTAGTAACAACTGAGATATGTATTTCATTTAGATTTCCTTGTATGAGTTATCTCTGGGTATTATTTTTACTTTAATGTAACTTATTTCTAGGCTGTAAATAGTACACCTCCAAGTGCTTCTCCTCAAGCGTCTACCGAAACTATCACCAAAATGAGAGAAAAATCTTATATGTTGAATACTTTACAAAAACGTGTAATTCAACTCAAACAGCATTATTTATCGTTCAATACTATGTCTGAACACATGATATGCTATAATAGTAGCTGCCGAGCAGCTAACAAATCTAGTATGGTTGCCTCATGTTATAGTCCACTTTGTATCAGACATGTGGATGTACGAAATGAACTTCTATCATTACTACGAAAAATGAACATTTTGAAATCAGAACTAACCGGTGAGTATTCATTATAGATATTATACTCTATTCTTAATGAGATCAGTATTGTGCCCCTCAAGTTGTGTGCATGGGTGTGGTTTCGTCACACAACAGAACTTAATGTGCTAATACTATTATAGCGCGAATAGTGTCTAACCATTTTCAAGCAAAAGTTGTTGCTCTCCTGTACTGTTCTCATTGGGAATTGAGTATATGATTAGTAATTAGTGATATATTTGTTATATATATTTTAATTCACAGAATTAAAAGCATCAATGCCTAAAGACCCGGGTGTATTAAATATAAAGACCGAAAAGACTGATAATACTCCAGTTGAACCAGTTCAAATAAAAACTGAAGTTAAAAAAGAAGATAATTTAGTTAAAAGTGAACAGATAGTTCAAGTAAACAATGACATAAAGACAGAGAGTAACACCAAGCAAAAAGATATAAAAACAGAAAATGAAGATGAACAAAATGTGAAAGTTGATGTCATCAGCTGCAGTCCTACTACTGGGTATGTGAACATTGAAACATAATATTTGTAGTTGTTTACTAATAAACTTGTTTTGTTAGATTAAGTGTTTTGAAGCCCGCAAGAAAAAGAGGTGGTGCTAAACGAGAAGGTGTTCTAGTAGATTGTATAGATGATGGGCGTGTTTATTCTACAGACGATACGCGTAAAAAGGTTAAATTAAACCAAGATTTGATCAGCCATTAATAAATGTTATTTACTTTATCAACTTGATTATTTAATTATTTTGTTCAATATAGATTTATTTGAAAAAACTCTTGAGTAATAATGTTCCTGTTAAAAAGAAAACAGAGAAAATTAAGTACCCTCCTACTTCACGATTTTATACGCGTAGTAAACGTTGCAGTTTATTAGTATTACCAAAACACGAGCTTCGAAAGTTAGCTAGACATGGTGGGCATGATATTGTTAATGGTTTCAATCCTAATAGCAAGGTAATTGTTGATATTTTTTTTAAATTTTTAGTCACTGATTACTTTTATCTATTTTTCAGACCAATAATTCAATATGGCCATATCCTTGCCCAAGACCATATTTTAAAACATGCTGGCTTTACAGAACAATCATGTTTAACACCATATCAGCTGCTGCGTTACAATTAAGAATTTTATGGGCATGCTTGAGATGGGATGAATTAACTGCTAAAACAGCTCACTTGGCTAGCAAACGAGAAGTAACTACTGAAACTGAATTAGTTACTACAGAAACTTTAGAGTGTCGTACTTCGGGCCAATTCAACGAACACACTGAATATTTAATACGCAAAGTTGTAATACCATTAGATATACCAAAACAAGTCAGGGGTAAGTGAGTGCCGTATTAAGTATGGACATTTAATACATTTTTATAAAAAATTTCAGAGGTGACACCCATACGAAGTGGCTTAAGAAAACGTAAGAGGGAGGAAGCTCCAAGGAATACCGCACCACAGGTATCTGAAGTGTGGGTTGATGAAAGTAAATTAGAGCTGGTAGAAATCAAACAGTTCCATGAAAGGTATGTCTCAGTGTAGTTCATTATCATTTTTCTAGTTTACTAAGTAATTAATTTTAATTTTCTACAGAGTGGAACGTGAAATGCAAATGCAACAAGCTATGAAAACACGTGCGTCTTCAGCCTTTGCTAATAAATTGTTGCATAACGATTCTTCTCATAATCGAAATTTAAACGATAAGCTCCGTACACAAAACTCAGATACAACGGATCATATCAAAGAGCAATTAGAACAGTCTCTCAGAGCCCAAAGAATTGCTTATAAAAGAACATCAGTAAATAATGATAACAACTCTTCAAATAAGAAACTGAGCATGGACTCACAAAGTCCAGTGACTAGTAGTTCGACGCAACGTATGAAACTTGTACCTGGTAAGACTATTTAACATATTCTGGTAAAAATTCTTAAAAAGCAATTAAATATAATTTTATTAGTTGTAAAAACGGTATTGTACATTTATATATTAACATTAGTTTAATTACTTATTTGTTTGATTACTATAAATACTTTACTTAACTATGTATATTACAATATAATATTATATTATGATGCATCAATAACTATTATTTTCATGTATTGATTGCTGGTAAATCAGTCTTTCACAAATTATCCCTTACTAATTGATTAAAGTAAATGTAAATTATCGTTATTTGTACAGGCGAAGGTGGAAGACTAAGGTTGATGCCGAATAATAAGCCTTTGGCTCAAAGTCCTACTTTACTTCAATCTTCCCCAAGAGTTGCCCCCAAACCCCCTATTACTACTACCACTCCATCAACTCGTCGCATATTCATGACTAAATGTATGTATTATTTATTATTTGTATTACCTATTATGGTTGCTGTATTAACAAGTGAGTACAAAATTGTATTTATATAAAATTCTGTTTTGATAATATAGGTCCAGACGGTAAGACCAGACTTGTGACTACACCAAAAACAATTATCACTGACACTAATGTGATGAATCAAAACTCAATGAAGATTCAGTCAACTAACTCTCAAATAGTCACTTGTAAGTTTGAGTAAATATGCATTTAAGATTTAAATACTAAATAATAATTATTATTTATTATTTTTTATTTAGCAAATAATGTTACCCAACAAAAACTGCAATGTATTAAAGGTGAAGATGGAAAATTACAATTCAAAGGTCTTTTACCAGGTATAAATGATCATTACTTGATTAAAATTAATATATTAATATTGTATTATTTAACAAATATAGGACAACAACTTATTCAATTACCCGATGGAAAATTGCATGTTACCAGTTACATAAATCCTAGCCCATCTCGGACTGTGCAAATAGGAAAAAATACATTATTGGCAAATAATAATAATTTTCAAAAAGCTGGCACTCAAGTAAGGTTTTAATATGTGATATGCTTGTGTTTTGTTTGCATGAAAGTCTTATACGCTGATTATGTTGTATGTTTATCTAAAGTTAAAGTGTTAAATATTATGTATATTTACAGACAATTATTTTGAACCGAGGATCACAGCCTATTCAACAAGTTATGAAACCTCAAACATCTCAAGTAATGATCTTTGTATTATACATATTAAACTAACAAAATACAATATACATATTTAAATTATTATTGAATTAATATTGAAATATATTTTTCTATATGAATGATGGCATATAATAAATACAATGAAAATTAATAATTTGTATGTCTTACAGATGGTAGTTTCTGGTGGACAGTTAGTAAATGTTTCACAAGGTCAACAAATGATTGTGCAGCATATTAATCCAACTAAAGCCACTATAGCCACTATCAATGGCCAACAAGTTATATTACGGCCAAATACTGGTAAGCTTATACATTTTGAGGAATGCCACACTCGTAAATGTTGTTTGTTTTAAAAACGTACAACTATAAGTTTTGTGTTCAATTTTACATTTCCAATTTTGTATTTAGTGTTAGTTTAAATATTAAAATGAATTAATCTATTTTTAGTGTTAGAACCTTATCTGTTTTATTTTATATTTAAAATTTAAAGCAAGATATGAGAAATTTAAACATCCAAATAACAGATTTGTTTAGTATTTATCAAATAAATTAAGTCTGACAGATTGCTCTTACAAATATCAACAAAAAAATTGGAACTAATAAACAACAATTTTGCTTGTGAACGTTTGAACAACGGAGATTACATATACAGACGTGCAAATCATCCTAAGACTAACGGCTTAAAACATATCCATCATTATTTTTGATTAATTAGGTACTTCTGCCAACTTAATCAGTAGCGGTGGCCAGACAATTAAGTTTGTACGACCTCAACAAACTATACAAAAAATGCATCAATCTGTACCACCACTATCACCTCGAGTTACTCAAACAACTGGAATTGTTCCAGTAAGTTTTTAAATATAATTTTAAATTTCCCTTTAATATTAATTTATCACTGATTGTAGGATCAACACAGGCCAGTAGTTCCACAGGCTGTACCCATACCATTAGTTGATGAACAAGAAAAACTACTTTTAGCTAACCAACCACCTGGTACTGTAATAAAATGTATCACAGCTCAAGTAATTCAAAGTCAAACGCATGGTAATAAAATAGTATTGCAAGGTTTGCAAGGTAACGATTTTACACCCCAGCAATTGCAACTTGTACAGCAACAAGTCAAACAACAACTCTTAAAAGGTGAACAATTTTAAATATAACAACTATTTATTTGAATTATAGTTTAACTTTTTAAATTATTATTTCAGCTCAAGAATCCAGTGGTACTCAAGGAGTCTTAGGTCCCACAAAGATTTACCTTGCTGTTCAGCCACCAGATTCCCAACTTCCTCCTGTGCAAAAAACTGGAATTGTAGCCCCCGTCACAGCCCAACCTACAGTTAAACCAATTGAACCTTCCCTCAAGCCACCAGTTCCTGTACCAAACAATATTCCAGAAAGCTTAACTCAAATTAAAATTGAACCAGTAAAGAAATAGTTATTTGAAATAAACTTAATCATTGAAATCTAATAATATACTTTTTTAGCCATCAAAGTCTCCTGTGAATAAAATCCCAGTAATTAAAGAAGAACCAATTGATTCCCCAAACTCATTTGTAGTGACTCCAAACTATATTAGTCAATGTAAGTTTTATTGGGTTGTTGTTTTAGTTTTTTTTTTAAATTCATTTATTACTGTTGTAGCAATCAAAAATGTATTGAAAAATGAAGATTTGAACCCGGAAACACAAGAAAAACTGTTACAATTGCAAAAATATCAAGAACAACAATTGCGTGATCCAGTACCGCAGACACCAGTACCTGCATCTCCTGCTAGAAAGCGACCTTATGAAGCTGATAATTTGTCAGAATTTGAACCACCCAAAAAATCAACTGAACGTGATAATTCTGGGTATTTTTATGTTTCATTAATAAAAACACTAGAATATTTTGTAATTCAATTCCAAATTTTACCTAATTTTTGTATTTTTTTCTTATTTATACTGTTGAACATTTTATTCTAGTTAAACTTGTGTTAATTGTTAATTATTTTGTATTGCACGTATAGGTCATTGGTATCTCCTGAACAATCAAAACTATATCAGACACTAAAACAGGGCGATGATGAACGTAAAATGCAACAACTTCAATCAAAACTCCAGGTTAGCTTGTTCAAACAAAAAGAATTATTGAAAAAAGATATACTAAAAAAGAGGGCGCTTCTGGAAAAGGAATTGCAAATCGATATTCAGGTATGTATTTTAAATTCATGTTTTTCTCGAAATTCGGTTTTATCGAAGTTCCTGACAAACATAATTTCCTGAGTTTCGATCCTCAGTTCCGATTCCAGAAATGTCGTTGCTCGATTTGATTGCAGTATACTAAGTACCTTGGGTAGGATGAAGAAATATTTTTGATGGTGTAATATGTCTGCCTAGACCATAGTCTTATTTATTCTGAAGTTATTTTCATTTGTTTGATGTGTTTTACAGAACGAAATAGCTGCTAACGTGACTGTTTCATCAGCTGATTCTACGACAACTTCTAATAATGTGACTGAAAAGTCTATTCCAGTAACGCCTGCCCCTGCGCAAGTGACTCCCCCTCCCCAAGGTAGCAGTAAGCGTAAACACGCTTCAGGTCCACCAACCACCATACAAACTACACCACATGCCAATAATAATTCCAAAACTAGTAATTCAGGACCTGGTAGACGACGGCCAATGAAGATTTCTCCTCCGGGACCAAACCGAAATCATTCACGGCCATCACCATTAACTCCTACCAAGAAATCTAGCCCAAAAAAGAGTAAAAAAGAAAAAATTATGTGTCTATGTCGAACACCCTATGACAGTTCAAAGTAAATAACTACTATGACCAATGTTTTATTATTAAGTATGTTGTAATTGTATTTGGTCTTAGGTTTTACGTTGGATGTGATATGTGTCACAACTGGTTCCACGGTTCTTGTGTCGGCATCACTGTGCAAATGTCTAAAAGAATTTCTGAATGGTTTTGTCCAGAATGCAAGCGATCCAAGGATCCCGAAGTTCTCTATTGTATATGTAAAAAACCATATGATGATCAACAGTAAGTTGTATCTATTAAAATGAATTTAATAAATGTTGTTTAAATCACTTTTTATTGAGAACTTTTATTTTTATTTTAGATTTTATATTTGTTGTGATAAATGTCAGGACTGGTTCCACGGCAGCTGTGTTGGTGTATTGCAGTGTGAAGGTGATAAAATGGATGACTATAATTGTCCTAGGTGTATGGCCAACTCTGAAATCAATTTTGCCAATTTGAAGCCATTGAACCAACCAGACAACGACGACTTATTGAAACTCATCAAACAAATACATGTAATTACTGTTTATAATTGTTTGTAATTAATCACTCAACAGTTAAACATTATACCTTCTATACAAAATGCTTTTATTTTTAGTCGCATAAAAGTGCATGGCCTTTCATGGAGCCAGTCGATCCTCATGAAGCTCCTGATTATTACAATGTTGTTAAGGAGCCTATGGGTTAGGAGACTTCTCTATTCAAATTTTATTATATTCATATATTCAATTTTTTTCACCACTTACTTTTTTTTAACAGACTTGAACTGCATTGGAAAAAATGTGACCGATAAGAAGTATAAGAATCTCACAGAATTTATTCGTGACATGATCAAGGTATTCGACAACTGTAGGTATTATAATCCACGTGAATCACAATTTTACAAGTGTGCTGAAATCCTAGAACAGTTTTTTGTGTCAAAATTGAAAAATCTAAGGGACAAATTTTGTGAACAATACATGGAAGTCTAAAAAATGATTTTCAATTATTGTGATAATTTTCTAGGTAGTCATACTCTTATCTTACATTTTTTAATGTTTTTTTTATTTATTAATAAACATTTTTGTTCTTTTTTATTATTATCTTAAAGAAAAAAAACATTGTACATAATATTTTATTTTATTTATTAATACAGTATATCATAACGGCTATTATTGATCTATAATAGAAAATCTATATTTTTAGCTAACTTATTGTTTGTTTTATTGACATATTTTTACGGACATTTCACTGCCTATTCAGCAATGATATTGATATTTTGTTATTGATACAAACTGATTTGCTGGTGCATCTTATCATTTTTTTTTTATCAATTTTGTCGGGATAACTATTGTACATGATAAAAAGTTACTACAAAATTACTGTTGATCGATTAATGTTTGTTTAACCGCTCAGAAGCCGAAACACTCATTCCAAAAATTGAAATCAAAGTCTATATTTTTATCTGTATAACCTTTTTTTGTTAAATATAATATAATATTTAATTATAAATAAAAAATTTTTAAGGTGATGTTGTATTTATATTTGTCTCAAAATACATTTTATACAATATGTTAGTATTTTAATATTCTTTTTTTAAAATATATCGAAACTCAAAACCAAAAACCTGTATGATTTGTTTATTGAATGCATGTATATAATTATAATGTGTAGGGGTAGAGCCTACTTGTATTTTATTTTAAAATAAAAATAATTATGTATGTTAAAATTAACTATGATTTTATATAAACGGTGATGATGTTTTTCTTATATGCCTTTTAGTTTTTTTTTATTTGTTTGATTTAATTTTTCCATTGAATATTTTTTTTATTATTATTATTATTATTATTATCAATATAAATATTATTTATGTTGTATCTAGTTTTTATGAACTTGTTTGATACTTACTATTGTAATTATTACTATTAAAAAATATGGAAAAAAATCCGAGAAAAGAAAATTAAAACAGATATATTATTATTATTGTTATTAGTATTATTATTGGTATGGCTAGTGCGATGCGAACCTGGTTGTTTAGCAAATCGACCTCGTTGATTTTTTTCCCGACTCCAAATTGACGTGTTCCTGTGTGTTGTGTTCCCTATGGTCTGACATTGCGTTTCACACGCCTCAGGGGAGAGCTCCCTACACGAAGGCTGTCATGCTAATTCGCTATTAATAACGTTAGCTGCGATGCATTTGATTACGAGTATCGCGATCCTTAGTATAAAGTAATAGAGGTTTCATTATTATTTTTATTGCATACGAAATTTATAATATTATTCCCTTTCGACCGACGACAGTCTCCGCCAGGTATTATACATACGTGTGAAATAAACTAATACAAAATTATAATTATCATTTTGTTTGATGCGAGATTAATATTATGAATGTTAAATAGCATATACACATACAAACGTAGACAATTCATTTATGGTACTTGGAAAAAAAAGTAGTAGATGATGAAATTAAATTTTGGAAATTAAGAATATAAATTGAAAAAAAAAACTGTCATCAATAAGACAATATTGCATTGGAATATTGGTAGGTAGCTTATACATATGTCGACTTTGAACTTTTTTCATTTAAACATTTACAAAATTTTGATTTTATTAATACCGACAATATTTAAGTTGTTATTACTTATGATCCATCTTTTTCGTAGAAGTAAGTAATTGTTTTTAAATTTTGTAATTAAAAATTATTAGCTGGTGATCTAAAGTTTTATGCTAATATGTCTTCAATGAAGATTGGCTTAATTCAAGATGATCTAGACAGACTTATAAGTGATCAGTGCCTTTCAAATGGACTCAAGTTAAATATAGTTAAATGTGTTAAAATATTATTGTTTTCGTTCTAATGATTTTGTAATAATGTGTTTTCAAATATTAAGTACACATAACCACACTATAGTTAGACCGTTATCGTATCAGAGTTATTAATTTTCGTCTGGAATCCTTCACGAATCGGTCTTATTGAATACCTCGATCGTGTTCAAAGAAAGTCTTAACGTTTTATCGTTTATAAGAAAAAATAACACGGTAGGTAACTTCAATTCGTCAGCAACTAGTTATTTATATTCAACCCAAGCAACCCTTAATTTAGATTTCTTGAGTTAACGGAAATCTATAGATATTTGTTTTTTGATAAAATTAATAAAAGGCTATAAATCCTGTCCGAATTTATAACATTACTTAAATTTGAATGTTTATCAATGTAATTCGCGATATCTACCGTCCAAAATTTTCAATTTCATTTCATCGTACGCGAACCCCTTATATAAGTTCATAGTTATATTATGTAGGAGTAATCTGTTTTAAAAAAAATAATAACTTTTAATAATTGTATAATTTGCAGTACCTAGTATTCAGATTTCCTCATCAATCCGTTGCACAGCCACCAATGTTTGATCTTCATCCAACAGCGGTTCCAAGGACCTACTACCTACCTGACCTATATTGCACTAGTCGCTGATTGAATGTGCATGCCTGTCAATCCGATAACAAAATTATAGAAGTTGAAAAAAAATTAAACCTGTATTATACCTACATGACTATTGAATATTTTCCACATATACTTTTATACATTAGGTACCTAGGTATACATAAGTAATAAGTATATTATCATCGTCGTCACTATGAGGAGGAGGGGCACTGGAACATGTACTTAACGTTTTTAGCCCCTGCAGTTGATAAAAATCCAAATCTTTACATAAAACTCTGTCATAAGTCACTTAAATGAGTGAAATAATTAACAATTAGGTATAAGTATATTATTACTTATATTTACCTACTAATAATGCGGATGTACCAATGTACCATGTATGACGTCGTACTATACATATATATTGGTATATGCTATTTACTTTATAATACTATATTAAGATACCAGTTGCATACAGGGTGATTCACCAATTGTTTATTTTAATAACGAATTTATTCAAATTTAGATTTTTAGAATTTTCAAATACCTAATATATTCAAAGACCATATTTTCAAATCCTTGAATATTTTTGTACTACTATTAAGGAGTGTACTGTGGTGATACAAACTTCTGTTTTTCAGATGAGAACCTCTCTTTTACTGTACCTAAATTATAATTAGTGGATATTTGTTTTGACAATTTTGAGCCACATTCAAAATTCGAATGAGTAGTTTCTATAAAATTGTTTGCATTACGGATAATAGTCCTCAGAACTGGTTTTACATAAATATAAATTAGACGTATAATTGGATCTAGTATTTATATTGTACTTGGGCCATTTTTACAAACTAATAATACCGAATACCGATACATTAATATTAATTACTACAATTTTCAAATCACCATAGCCATCATTTCTTATAAACTCTTAACTTTACTATGAACCTTTTATCCTTAAAACATAAAGTCAAATAACTCAGAAACTATTAGTACGAATTTTGATTTTGATTCGTCAAAAATGTCAGAAAAATTATCTGCTGTATAATATGTAGTTGAATAGGGGTGTTCTCATTTGAAGAACAGAAGTTTATATTTCCACAGAAAATATAGCCTTAAAGTACATTTAAAAATTTTAAAAATCAGATTTTGAATAACTGTATTGTTGAAAAATAAGAGGGGTGACCATTGTGTTGTCCTTTTTTATAGATGGTGTTTTTTCCACTGTAATGCAGTAGGTAGTGGATGTCGTGGATATTCATATTTCTAGTGTTATAGGATTTAATTTTCTATACGGGCGTTTATTGTAAAATTATAGTTCTGAAAAGATGTCGCTGACAACCATTTAATGCCGCAGCCAACTCAATAATGTTTCTGCCAACGAAACGATGCCGAGGACGACTAAAGGATACCCCGGACTACTAAAGGATGATGCTGTGGCCAACAAAGAGATGCAGCGGTCCAAGAAACGAATCTTTTGAAAAAATTAATTTTCTAGCTTTTCGATGTCACATTATCACGATATTCACGAAGTCAGTTTACTAAATGTATTTGCCTACCGAGATATTTGAAAAAAGCAATTAAAGTGAGACTTTTAAACTACTAATCTAGAAGAAAACAAAATATTTCCTACTTCATAGTATGGTTTTAGAAAGGGATTACTGGTGTAGGTAGGGAGGTACTGCAGATGCATTGGCACATCTTACTAATTAAATATATAATAACTTGGATTAACGCAAAAAGACTATTGGTATAAAATTAGACCTAAGTACCTAAATAGCCTTTAACAGTAATATCTCATTCTATTTTCAGTTTTTACCAAATGGTTTTAAATCATCTAGCATTACGCATTTTTAAATCATGCTTGGAACAAAAAACACAACAAGTTAGAATAGGTAAATGAAATTGAGTCCTTCAAGGTACAGTTCTATCACTAATTTTATACATATTAATGTATGTATAGTCGAATGAAGTAATCTCAATATCGACTTAAAAATTTACTCATATGCTGACGAGTAATGACAATAATAATAGTATCTGACTCTAACTTACGGGGATACAGCTTGGAATAAATGTGAAGTTGAAATATATTAATAATAAATATGTAGTTTTCGATTAATAAATCAAAAATAAATTACTATAAAAATCAAAATGTATTATTTCTTCTAGTGACATAAGAACTACACCACAAAAAAAAGAAATTACTTACATAATCAATTAAATTGCAACACCCCAACATTCACATGTCCTAAATTAATTCAACCCGTTTCCATTAAATACTTTGGCATAACAATAGATCAAAATTTACACTGAATATTCATATTTTCAAACAAAATAATTAACCTAAGACCATATTAGGACACTTTTTCACTATAGTCAAAAAACAAAAAAAACTAATTAAAAACTTTATTGGTATAATAGTATAACATATTTTGCATTGGCAAAATCATTTATTTGTAATACCACTTGAAAATATAACTCGTCAAATAGACAAATATCCTAGTACATATCATCTTAAACAGAAAACGTTCCATTCTTGTGATTTATTTAAAATGTTAATAGTAGATTCCTGATAGGTATTCACAAATTATACAAAAAATGAAAAAACAAACAATTTACTTTATTAGCAAAAATAATTTATTTGATACCAGAAATCAAAAATATAACTTCAGAAAGAAAAATCTCACAATACCATTAATTAGCAGCAAAAAAGTTTCTATGTCTTACTTTCAAGTTGGTTAAGAACTGTGATTCCAAAAGAATTACTTATTTGTTCAAATTATTCATACTTTAAATATAAATTTAAAAATGTCATTTAAATATATAGGTAGTAGGTAGGTAATAATTATTTCTAAATGTACTACCCTACCTATATTACAACAGATATTAATTTTTTATTATTATATTCAATCATTGTAAATTAAATAGGTACGTTTTGTTTTTTTTGCTATTTTTATTTTTTATCTCTTTTTTATTGTTACTAAGTTTAAAATAAGTAGTGATCTTACAGTTTTACAACTCTACGGCACGAAGTGGCTCCTCACTCATCAGTGTAGAGTAACTCCTAGTAATAATCTATTTGTAAAATATGTATATTATATACTTCTCTAACTAGAGTTTAAAATAATAAAAAAAAATGACGAAACATTTTTTAATGATTTTAGTATATTTTACTAGGGTTTAGGACTGACGGAAATTATCGGTATTTTTGAATATCGGTTACCGTGATTCGGTTATTCGGTTATTACCGAATATACCTTGCCACCATAATTACCGAAAATACACGAATACATTTATAACTTATAATTGATATAATCATAATAATATAATTACAAACATACATTTTAAAATAGAACGATATAAGATGTTCCCTGTTTGAAAGTTGGAATTTTTCATGAAAAATACCGATTATTACTATTTACTTATTTTATGTACCTAGGTATCCTCGGTGTGATGTTTTAGAAAATTACTGAAAATACCGTAATACCAATGATACCAGTATCAAAATTTGAAATACCACCAACCGTATGTTAAGCCTTCTATATTCATCATGTTCTATATCGATCGGGCGACGTCGCAGTCGTCGTCGTCGCCGTTTCCGCCCCGCTCGCAGCAGTGGACGGCGTGCACGCGGTAGAACTTTTCGCCCGGATCGCTTAGTTACACTCACGACGGCGGTCCATCAACACCTCCAGTACTCCACCACGGTGGTTTAGACCTGACTGTACCTGCCTATACCTACGTGATACCATCTTTGTGTACCACTACTCCGGTGGGTCTTATTCCGCTCATACACAAACCCGACGATCTAAGCGGTGAACAATAACCCCATCGTCAATCGACGGCAAAACAAATAATTATATTTCGTCCTAGTCAAATACGAAAGGTATACGCCTCATTCGCCATCACTCGTTTTACCGGAACGTCAAACCCGCTGGTGGTACACGAACGTGTCATTAAAATATTATTGTAATAATATCAAAAACGTCACTCAGCTATGTACAGATTCCAAGACGTAGCCCGTCCAGCGACAATGGCGGCCAAACATTTTGTCGGTGCACCAAGTAAGTTGCGCGTTTCGACGTTGTACTATAAAAATAATAATAATAATAATAATAATAATAATAATATCGACTGCAAGCTGCAGTCGTTTTAATTAAATGAATTATAGGTATGGTAAATTTCTCTAGAAATTCGTATGCCAGTATATTTGTTAATACGATTCGCTTGTACAACAATAATGTTGTACAAAGGTAGTATCAAAGTGTATATAGAATATGGATGGATAATTCGCTAATCGATAGGTACCTTTATATTATTATGGTTATTCAGCAGGGGGACCGGGTAATAAAATATGTCCAACTTCGTTTATTGTCATACCCATATATTTTCCAATACTATACTACTACAACAAATGATAATAATATACCTATTAAATAATATATTTACTCGAAGACGACGTCATAATATTTGCAAGTTCCTCCGTCTTATATACGTATTTATATGCAACTCGTTAAGTTAAGTTTATATAGACACATTTAAGTTAAGATTAATGTGTAAAGTTACTTTTTTTTATGTAAAACGAATTATCATACCTTTTCATTAAAGCTTAACAAATAACATAATATAGGTGGTATTTCTATTTTTTTAAAATGTATGTAATTATATTAATTAAAGAAGTACTTATACATACTTAAATCGATTAAAAAATTCTATGAACTATTTTAGTGAATTCTTGTTACTAACATATTATTTACTCGTATCTACATAGTTTCTTACATTGTATAGGTAGATAGTTGTACTTATTAGTTATTTTAATACTTATTGAAATCTCAAATACAGAAATAAGTAATGATGCAAAAACACTTGTGTCAGTTTATTGTTTAGAACTCATTTAGAATACAGAATAAAATAAGCATTAGTATAAATAGTATTCGATTTTTCAGGTAATTTTTTTTTATACCTATATATATAAATCAAATATAATTTTGAATCTATGGAATTCATACTAGGAAAAAAAAATTTTGTAAGTTAGATGTTACTTCAAAAAAAAAAACAAACCCGTTAAGTTATAAGTTACGTATGCAGTTATGCACTGCAGTCTGCAGTAGGTTTCGAATTTCGATACGTCTTGTGGATATACCATGCACCTAAACCTAAGATATAGGTTACGTTTGTGTTCCTAATTCCCCATAAATTATGGCCATTGTACTGTACTAAACATTATACTTATTTAAACTTAAAAGGACTACGTAATACTGGCATTTGTTGTATCCGTCTTACAAGTAGGTAATATAGTAAATTTACGCTTAGCAGGTCACGCGTACAGTTTCGTTAGTTTAACAATTTGAGTAAATCGATCTATTATTAAAACTTTATTGTCAGAACATTATATGTGTTGGTGGTTTTTTTTTTTTATGATACTTGAATTTTTTAGCAAGTTATGTTTATATAATATAGCATAAATTAAAAATGCTCATAATTCACTTAACAATTTAACCATCGTAAAAACCATCATACAAACACACACAATGTTCTTACAATCAAGTTTCATAATGGGTCGATTCACTCTAATTTTTAAGCTAATGAAGCTACACGTGATCTATTAAGCTTAAAATATTTTATATGTTACTCTTTTGTAAGACGGAGACAAAAAAATCCAGTGTTGTGTCCTCTTAATGTCCTCAAATTTAGACATAAAAATGCATCAAAAAAGGAATAAAACAGACAATAATTTTATGTAGATAGGTTTATACTTATATTACTTACCTATAATAATGTTGTAATAGTACTAATATAATGAAGTTAGTGTGGTTAAAATACGTATGACTTTTGACATTTTGATTAATATTACATTTATCATAATCGGCCAGCGAGTAGTATGCCTGTCAAATAAAATATAAATTGGTATATATACATATACCAATACTAATAAATGCACATAATTATTGATATTGATGTAGGTAATGCGATTTTTACAATATACTTAATATTAAATGACCAATCGGAGCATCTGATCAACAGATTAATTTTGATACGCATGGTAGCATACATGTATCTAAAGGGTACCTATTATGTAATACTAATATATGTTTTCATTCTTTTTTATTTTATCCGTTTCATAAAAACACTTTGATTAACAAATTTTGACAGTTGAGTTATTACTTATTTCTAAATTATTTTTCCAAAATCAAAGTTTAAATAATGTTTGTGGATAGTTGAAAAACATTTTACGATAATATCATCATTTTATGTACATTTTATACAATTATTTTTGTACGTAGTATTTCAGAGATATAACATATAAAGTTATATTGCTATCCCCAAAATTTTTTTTTTCTATTTTCTAAGCTATTTTGAACATCATTTTATCCCAGTGCCATATTATTAAATATAAATGTTCTATGGTAAAAAATTAGGTATACCAACTATTATTATTTTTATCGAGTGTCTATATTTTTCTTTAGCTGGATGATATGGGTAGGTACGGCTAGATACAGTGACTGGTCAGCATATTATTGTTATACAGTCCAGTCTCGTTAACTCGAAAACTTCGATAACACAAATACCTTGATACCACGAATTATTTTCTTACCCCTTGAATTGTTTTTTAGTCATATTTGAGGTGAATGTATAACTAAAAAAATACATAGGTTGAATTTATTTTTTTTCTCCTTGAGATTCGAGTTATCGAGACTCATCGACTAACGACTGTATAACTTACCTATACTGGCTATTTCCACTGGATGTCTGTGTGCATTTTATACTTGTTAAATCGTTTTTAGCTATACTATTGTATTTTTATATCGAAATAAAAATGAATCTATTGGTATATTTCAGTTTGTAGTTCAGTTTTATGTATTAGTAAATATTAATGTAAGTCAACAGAGGTCAACAAAATATTAACATAAACCGATGGCTGGGTTCCTGGGTTGCACGTCCATATACGTGTCTAAACTCGATTATTATCATGTGTTCATGTAATAATAGTTAATACATACCTACAACCTACTTGAAGCTACATCATTTTTTCTTAAAACACCTAACTGATTAACTAATAATCTGTACCTAATGATATACGAGGATGTATGATTTTTTCAAAACACTTGTTTTATGAGTATTAGATTATTGACTGAAATAAAACAATAAAATATGTATATATAAATATAGGTATAGCAGCCAATATGTAAGTTGACTATGCCGATAAGTGTATTGTTTATTGACTAATAATTATTTGTTTATACAAAAAACATGATGTACAATGTACATTGTACATATTATTATGATTTTAAATGTTAATAACTAATAACTTTGAACCTCCACTAATGTCACTATTTATACTAAATTCGGATATAGATTATCCAAAATAAAATGTCATCCAGTAGGTGCTTATTATATTATTTTGTTATTGTTAATTTTTTTTAACTAAAATAGCTGACTTTAATTTATTATGCAAGTGAATTATTCAAATACATATTAAATAAATACATTATTTAATTATATTATAAACTATCGATGCATTCGATTTTATGTTTAATATTGGAGCTTTGCATTAGCAATGACAACATCTATTGGTAGAAATGTCTTAAGTGATATCAAAATAATAAATTCCATTTGACATATAAAAAATGTAATCTTTAAAGTAAGTTTTATCTATTATATCTTATAATTTATAAGTACCTATATACTTCTTGCCGGGATACAAGCAATAAGCATATTATGGGGCATAGATAGGCACAAAAAACTTATTATACACCTATGACCTAGCTATAACCTGTATAGGTAGGCAAATACACAGTTCCCAAAACCAGGTCTCAGTTTTATGTTCTGAGCGGAGCGCTGAATGTATTGATTTTACAATGATGTGTGTTTTTATATTTATTTATTTATTTTTTTTGTGTGTCTATCATCATGGTTTCTTGCAGTAAAAGTGCTTCGACTTTTTTAAATAGCAGCTTTTCTGGTAGGGAAGTGAACGTAGTTGGTGCATTTGAGAGGTCAAAATTTAAAACTGCCAATAGTTTTCTAAAGCAACAGGAAAAACAAACAAAAACTTAAGGAAAAACTGGAATTTTTACGCAAAACCATTTTTTGAAAAAATCGATTTTGGTTTTTAGTGTAACTCTAACAAAAATGACCGTAGATTCATGACATTTTCACTGAATATTTGTGTTACCATTTTTTATACACCATACAATTTTCAAAATATTTTGATTTGTGTTGAACTATTTATAGGCAAATGACATTTTTGATAACTATTTGTTTTTTTTAAACCCAAGTCGATAAAACAATATTCGCTCCGTCAAAAAACGTGAATATGTAATACAAGGTTAATTGTAAGCTATTGTTAATAGAAATTAGAAAAAAGTTAAGCATAAAATGTAAATCCACAATAATTTTGTATGAGCGTTTAAACTTAGAATTTTGATAAAATTCGTAAAAGTCATGAAAGTATCAAATTTTATCTAGTAAGAAATGCATACAAATTTTTCTATTTATATCTAAGATTTAAAAATTGATTAAAAGATTTCTTACAAGCTTATCTACCTTTGTCAAATAAAAAATGACTATCGGAGAGTCGAATTAATTTTTTATGAGCGTTTGAATTTGAAATTTGTACAACATTGGATATTCACTCGATTTATCTTGTAACGATTTTCTTATTTTGTTGTAATTCAAAAACAAATTACTGTAGACACTTAAAATTTACATCAAATGTTTATTTCTTCAATTTATATACTTGATAAAATTTTCAAAATATTCTGACTCATTTTAGGCTGTAGACGGACATTTTTATTTTTTTTCTTATAAATGTCAATGAAATTGTATTCGTTGGGTCGAAAAGCATGAAAATTTAATACAAGATTCTTGATGACTTGTTTCAATAGTAGTTGAAAAATATTAAAAATACATAGGCACGATTCTTTTTTATAAGCATTTAAAGTTCACATTTTGACAATATTTTCAAGTTAAAAATGTATAAAATGTTCAATTTTTATAGCTAAGAATAAAATTGAAAATTTAAAACAAGTTTCCACTTATACAGTTTTTCCAGAACTAATACATTTAAAAAATATAAGAGTACAGTTATTTTTAATAGACATTTAAAGTTCAAATGTGGACAAAAATAAATTGCATATTAGCACAAAGAATAATGATTATCATTTTGTTGTAATTCGGTTCCAAAACAGCCCAATTTAACATAGGTACCTATATTTAATATTTTTCCAGCATCACTGATAATTTAAGAATGATATTAATTCAATTTATCGGCTACCATATTAATAATAACTAATAAGTAATAAACTAATAACAATATAAAATATCCTAAACTGACATACCGTCGTTTACCAATCGTTTTTCGTATACAATGATTTGATATCATTGAATTCAAATCTAATACCATCCATTATAACGACTTCTTAGATACCTAATGTAGTAATGTACAGCATAGGGACCCTGCTTTTTTTTTATAGGTACCCAACTATTGAAGTCTTAAGTTCTAGAATAATATAAGTATAATATCTAAATGTTTTGTACTATGTAGTATGTTATAATTTACAAGGTACACGGTTTGTACAAGTTTTTGAAACTGTGTCAAGTACTCAAGTGTTTGTAAATTATTACATCGGAATATTGGAATATTGTTTACCTATTCTATATTTCTATTTCATTAAAACTCTTAATTACGCTAAGGATTGGGATTTAATTATTAATGTATATTAACTAAAAGAACCCACATTTTTGAATCGATCGATTCAAAGAATGTTTTATCGCCATTAAAACATTGAATTGAAATTTACTGAAGGTTCTCATTAGTGACTATATTATTATCATTTAATAATACTATAAAAGTATAAATGTATGAAGAAGCGTATAATGGGGAGAGGCAGCTAAGGAGGGGTTATCGTCCCCCCCTAGAATTTGAAAGAAGTTCCAATATAGTCTTCGATATCACAAGGAAAAAAAATAGGCTATAGCCTCCCGAATAAATTTATCACGCTACGGCTATGCACTTCTGTTTTTTTGTCAAAAACTGCATTAGGTATAAGGCATGATAAAAATGTTTTAAAATATTTTCCGAACTTTTCATTGTACATCTTATAGGGGCACTAAAAATATTGTTTTAATTGAATTTTCGAGTATTATAATACGTATGCAGATAATAGATTCCCATCTTTCGTTTCAAATAATAATAATTGTTGGCATATTTTCAATTCTTAGAAAACGAAGGCATATTATTAGATAATAATATTAGGTATACATGAGTAATAATTTGGTTTTCTCTAAAATAATATGTGCTATTTGAAAATGTCTATGTTACAGTGAGGATGGCATCATCAATTTGCCCTGGAGAATATGCTGGACCGTCAGTCGAAACGTCGGTACCAGGACCGAAGTCGAAAAAACTTCTCGCCGAGATTTCCCAATTTCAGGTAAGACATTAACCGGATGTACCATTTGAGGGTTAACATATTACATTATTTACTATATTATTTTGACATCTGTCATCTGCTGATATTAATGATATTATATAGTGCAGAGACGATGCTTTTTTGATTCATATTCATTTTCGACTGCAGGAAGTTGTGTTGTTTAATTCAATAAATAAAAAGTACATTAATTAAATACCCTACAACGAGGGTCTATAAAATAAAAAAGAGATATTACACTTTTATACTTTTATAATATTTAAAATGATGATATAGTTATACTTGTTACAGTAATTGTTAGTTTAAATATTGCTAGTTTTACTATTTTTTAAATATAAAAAATTAACTAAACATTTAGCCGGTTGTATAAAGATATTAAAATACACCTATTGGTTTAATACTTTAACCATTTGGCAACTAAATAGACTTAGTATATCCATGTCTAATAGTAAACACTAAACAGAGATAGCCAGTTTTAAAATTATAAAATTTTTACATTTTAGTTACATTTGATTTTTCAAACGTATGGAAAATATGATAGGTCGTTTCATATAGATTCTATAGATCTTTCGAGCATGAATTTACCTCTCGATCATAGAGTAAAAAATATATAGTACTTTCGGGAATAATACATGTACAACACGTGAATAACAATGTCATACTTCATGATGTACTGCAATTTTTCCGAATTGCGCTGAACTATTCTTTAGAAGATAAGTTTCCCCGACTAAAGTCATCTATATGTTTTCACTTTTCAGCAATCCGGTTCGGTTCAGCTATTCGCTGACTATAACAAATCTCTGGGCAACTACTTGGTTGACGTCGATGGTAACGTTCTGTTGGACGTGTACACGCAAATATCGTCAATGCCGTTGGGTTACAACCATCCGGACATGTTGAAAGTGTTGGAAAGCGACGAGAACAAAGTATGTACATTATTTAATTTAAACTGTGTCTCTAGATTACCGATTTGTCTAGATAACTGAAGGGTTTTCATGGGAACTAAAATCATCAATACATTTTTCTCTCCCGCCTTTATTTAGCAGTTCTGATAGAGTTAAGAAACTTTCTTTAAAAAACGTTAATGGTTAGATATCGAGTATTGAATAAATAATACCTAGATCAGATGACCTAACCTACATTTTAGAAGAGTGGAGTAGTGACATCACAACTTCTCCATTGTAGCACTTGGCCATTCATATCTTTTTCCTGCTGATTTAAGTTTTAAATAGGTAACGATTTATTCAACATTCAACATTTAAAAAGAATTTTTAGAAAAGTATTCTCTTCTATTGTAAGTATTGTTAAAAAGAATACCAATGTGTAATAATAGAGGTAAAAGTACAACTATTATTTTCAAAAATACAAACGTTTACTTAGAATATTAGTGTAACAGTAGCATAAGCCATCTAAATGATAAAAATAATTGATCACTGTATATTATACCTATTAATACGTTTACGTTTTGTTCGTTTAATGTTGTTGGTTTTTTTTATTGTACCAGAAAGCCATCGTCAATCGTCCGGCGTTGGGTGTCTTCCCAGCTGCCGATTGGCCAGAGAAATTACGAAGCACGCTGATGAGTGTAAGTTTTTTTTTAATATAGGTGTATTAGGTAGTAATACAACAATATTATTACCGCACCAGAGCACCCATAACATAAAAATAATAGATTTGGACAAAAAATAATAATTTGAGAATATATATTGTAAATTCACCAGAGAAAATAATTACAACTGTATTGAACTAAGTATAAAACATTTATGTATAATAAAGATAATCTACTAAATTAATTTGGAGTGGTAACTTTCCTGAGTCAACGTATAATCTTTACCTACTTGAATTAAATATATTTTTTATTATTTACTGTAGTTTATATACATGAGTTTTTAAAATTTATTATGTGCATATTATATTATAATAATATATACAAAACATATACAATAATTATATAATGTCCACAGACTCAGGAAAGTTTACACATACACTGTCAAAAGATTTTTATTTAAATTTAAATTTATTACAAACGCATTTATTTAAGTTTGAATTCTGACATATACCATATGATGACTTAAAAAATATAACTCATTAACATTTTGACTGGTGGTGGATTGAGGGAGGAGGATATATGTACTAAAACCACTACCCTAAGTATAGTATATGTAGAAAATAATAGAGGCCCCAGAAGAAAATTGTAGGTAAGGCCTACCTACACTGATTAGTGATTACCATTGGGAGAATTTACAATCGCCCAATAAATTAATAATTTTATCGAACTATAGAAAGATGAAATTCGATTAATCGGTCAATCGTCCATTGAGGCTATAATTTTAGAGATGGTACTGTCATTAGGTATCTAGGTATCTACTGTATAGATAGTAGATTGATTTTGCTTATAGTAGGATTTCCATCGTTTCGGGTATAGTTCTATAGTAGGATGTAACATTGGAGTTTATTTTAGGGTGTACATTTCTAGTTAATCCATTTTTTTATTGTAATCGTGAATAATTTCGTATGTTCACAGCTCACGACATTTAGTAATTATAATTTATAATGTTACATGGGTTGTTGGTAACTATTTGTTTTTTAAATAGTCAATTTTTCTTAAACCTCATATTTAAAAAAAATGTTTATGTTAAATGTTGAACAGAGGCCTATATATATACTTGAGGCACACTAGTACGTATATTAACTGTGAAGTATTAAATCCACTGACTTATAAGACCGTCAATTAGGTTTAGAACTTATACCATAATACATTATTATATATATATATATATTATATCTGTAGAATAATATGCATCACTTTTATATTAATAATTATATAGTATTGTATTTATACGCCTATCAAATTATTTTGTTGATTTCAATGATGTTTGATAATAAATATGATTAATGATGATAATAATATCATTTATACCAATATGTAGGTTGCACCTAAAGGTATGGACGCTCTGACGACTATGATGTGTGGGTCTTGTTCCAACGAGAACGCGTACAAGAATATGTTTATGAAGTACCAGCGGGACAAGAGAGGAGGCACTTCAGACTTCACAGACTTGGAAAAAGATTCATGCATGATTAACATGCCGCCGGGTGCGCCCAAGCTATCTATACTGTCGTTCAAGGGTTCGTTCCATGGCCGCACACTGGGCGTCCTATCTACCACGCATTCTAAGTACGTGCACAAGTTGGACGTGCCAGCGTTCGACTGGCCAATGGCTAGATTTCCCGAGTACAAGTATCCGTTGCACGAGAACCTCAGGGAAAATGAACAAGAAGACGAACGTTGCTTGGCCGAAGTGAGTACAATCATAAACAGAGTAATTCATCTAGCAATATAGCATGTTCACCCCCTTTTTTGTTCAATACAACAGTAGTTATTGAAAATCAAATTTTTGAAATTCTTAAATATAGATATTTACAAACTATATTTTCAAACTCTTGAAATTTGCTATTGCTACTATTCAAGGATCTAGTGTCCTGTGAAGATACCATCTTCTGATTTCAAATGGGAACACCCTTTTTCTAATGTAAATTATTTGGTGGATAATATTTCTAAAAATATTGAAGCGTCAAAATCTTGCAAAAAGGGAGGGTACACTCGGTAATGCAAAAAATCTCAAGAAATCGAGTACACGCTCTTTATATCTATGAGTATAATTAAAAATTCCAAAAACCAGGATTTGAATAAAATTATTTTTAAATTAAATAATGAAGGTTAGGTTTGGTCCATCGCCCTATATATTACATAGTAGGTATGTACATTATTTATTTATTTAATATAATACCTAATAATATATATATTATAAAAAATGTATACATATGTATACACACGCTTTACTCGTTAAAAAGCAAAAAGTTAACTATTATAGTAAGCAGATTATTGTAAACTAAGTATATATTTTAAGATTTGGTCGGTTCGTTTTTGTTTTCTCAGGTGGAGGAACTGATAGAGAAGTGGGAAAAGAAGGGCAACCCCGTGGCAGGAATCGTCGTAGAACCCATCCAGTCGGAAGGAGGAGACAACCACGCATCACCATATTTCTTCCAGAAGCTTCAGAAGATTGCCAAAAAGGTGTGTGGTACATTTGTACGCAGCTATCGAAAGATCTATACAAAAAAAAACAATTAGGTAAATCATAATCAATTCGTTATTGTGTCTAAATTGTAGTACAACGTGGGATATTTAATCGACGAGGTGCAGACAGGTGGCGGTCCCACCGGAAAGATGTGGTGTCATGAGCATTTCGATCTGGAAACTTCACCTGACATCGTTACTTTTAGTAAGAAAATGCAAACCGGAGGATACTACTTGAAGACCGAATTCTTGTAATATTATAATATAATTATTAATAAAACATCATCATTGTTGTAGGAATTTGTTACCTAATCTGTTTTTTTCACTTACTTAATTTCCGTAGACCCGACTTGCCTTACCGTGTGTTCAACACTTGGATGGGAGATCCGACTAAAATCGTATTGCTTGATGCTGTACTGAAGGTGATCAAGAGGGAAAATCTGTTGTCTGTGGTCGAAAAGTCCGGCGATGTACTCATGTCCGGACTCAGAGACTTGGAAGCTGAGTTTCCAGCACTCATAAACTCCACAAGAGGCCGCGGTACATTCATAACTTTCGATGCTACTGATGCCAAACTCCGAGACGACATCGTCAAAAGACTTTTAACCAAAGGTACTATAGTATTTTAATAATATTGTGCACAGAGTATTAGTGTGTATTTTGTGTGTGTTTCCTGTCACCTTTAATGTGTGTGTTTTATTTTTCGTATTCAAATATTACAAAATTGAAAAACGTTAATAAGTTATAGTAAGCACGTAGGTATAGAAATATCGAACCATTTTAGTATTTTACCATGATTTGTATGAATATAATAATTATCTTATGTCATACGAAACCTATTCTACGTTGGTAAGCACTTGACACTAAGACCACGGGCATAATCCTTACACTATGATAGGTACTATAATAATATTTTATTTTTATTTAAATTACGTATAGATTTAATAACACTAAATGATCATTTAAGTTTCAATGTTTCATTGAATTTTAAATGTGTGCGACGGTTAATAGTTAATATTATATAAAAAACCAACAATCAATATTATTTTCTTATATAAAAACTATTTTATCGTAATTTTCGAACAATAAGTATTATCATTTATTATTACTTATTAAATAATAAATATTTACTATTTATACAAACTTCAAAATTTCCTATACACGTCATCAATATTTTAAATTATCATTATTGTTAACTTTATACAGGTATTTAGATAAATACATTTAAGTTGGTGTTTATTTTGTGTATTTCTATTTGATGATCAGATTTCAGACACGAACATTAAAGTGGCAATAAAATACACATCGATTAATCATTAAACTATACTCTGTAATCAATAAATACCTTTTCAAGCTGATTATTTTAATTTTAAACTGCTTGAATTGAATTTTAATTGGGTTAGTAGATAATTATTAGTATTATTACTTTGTAAATAAAATCGAACATTAACATTTATCAGATATGTTTATTAGTGTAAATTTAATTTAAATATAATAATAATTTAATTATTAGTAAGACAAATAATAAGGTTAAATATCTATAATATATAGAGTATAATTACTGTATATTTACCGGAAATGTATACATTGATTAATTGGAGATTAGATAGCATAGATACCAAAGTATGTACATATATCGTGCAGTATAAAATATAAATGTAGATAGCCGATAGGTACATATCTTGCAAAATCGTTATTTATTTTTTTGATTTATCAGTTATGGATTTGTCTTAATAAACATATACATATTAAGGTAATAAAATAATATAAATAAATTATAATACAATGATTAACTATGCATGTACAAATGTACAATGTATATAATTTATTGTCCGTAAAAAAGCCAATGTTAAAAAACATAATAATAATAGAAAATAATAAGATTTAATTTAATTTAAACTAATGAATAACTTTTTTTGTTTGAAGAGCTATTCAAATCAAACATAAAATAACTAGTTTAATTTATTGTCTAAACTTCCTCTAAACCTTCAAAATCTTTCGATTATTCTTTGATTCCATAAGTTTTAATCAAACATGTACTTAGAGAATGGGTACGAGTACCCCATTGTCTAAGGCGAAACATTTTTTAGTAAATTTAAGGTGCAATACATTTATATAGACATATTATTATTGTGTATTAATTGTTTATAAAAAAAATACATTTATACTTTATACTATGTTTTAATTATTCAGAATAACCCAGAATCAGAATAAAATTTAAAAAATGCAATAATAATAATTATAATACTTTTTTTCATTTCATATTTTTTTTTTATAATAAATTATAATAATTTTATTTTTCGGAATGCGTGTTGTTAAGATAAAATAATTTAAAAAAACAAAATAATCTCGATGGGGGGAATTACGCAAACTCAAGAACTCCAAAAGGTTATAACTTTGGAACTAAGTTTGACCGACAAATAGTTCTGATTGCACCCTCGTTCTTACCTCATTGAAATATAGAAGTTTTCGAAAGAAAAATCCTTTGAGAGTTAAATTGCATTTACTCGTATACCATAAAATAGTATAGTTAGTTACATTTTAAGAAAAATCCTTTTTTTTAGTGGTTATACATTTCAACCATCAATACTTTTGCACAATCTTGCAACTTCCTTCTCATTTGATTGCATTATAGACATTTTATATAGATATTAAACTATATCATTAGTTGTGTTTTTATACAGTCTGCAGTATCTGATAGTCAGGACTGACTATAAATATTACGTTGTTTTCATGTTTTCAGGAGTCCAATCCGGAGGCTGTGGAGTTGTGGGCATCAGAATGCGACCGGCGTTGATCTTCCAGCCCCATCACGCTCACATGTTTATCGACAGACTTCGCCAGGTGTTGGCCGAAACTAAATAGGTTCCCCGTTATATTGTACAACTATTATACGTGTGCAGTAGTGTGAGCATTTGTTTATAATATTGTGATATTATCGAAAAATATGTCTTCCAGTTTTAACATAAAGCTTTTTAAAGATGAACGTAAACAAGTCTTCCAAAATATTTTAAACAATTATTACTAATATTTAATTGTATTAATAATTATTAATAACAAAATAGATATTATATCTTATTATTTCATGTTACTGTTATTATTTAACGTTTATTATAATATTATAATACGGATTATACTTATAATAATTTTTATTGATATGCTAAGATAAAACGAGTGCTTCCAAATATTGTAATGTTATATATAATATTTATTATTTAATTGAATCTGAAATGGATCACATATTGTGTTCCATTAACTTGAGTTCAAACATTTTGTTCTTATGATTAAATTTAATATAATATACTACGTAAAATAATACATTGATTATAAATATATAATCGTTGTTTTTTGTGTAAGTGTGGTATATTCACATAGAATAAAATAAGAAATTAATTTACTCGAAAAACAATTAACGCTCTGCTGTATATTATTATGTGTCTATTAAGTCACTGCAATGGATGTGTTAAATTTGAATACAATATAATATAAAATCATTGTATATAAAAACCGATTCTGAACAAAGGCAGTCTGTCAGAGTATAATATTATTTATTGGTGATATTATTGTAATTAAAATAATTTGTTTTACTATTAGGCACTAGTACAACTGTAGGTTAAATCAATTTTTGTCGAACAAGTTACATTTTAAAATGTCATTGTATGAAATAAAATAGTATACCTACTCTAAAAGTTTCAAATACCCATAAATAATATTTTTAAATTACAACAAAATTACTAAAATCGTTATTCTCGGTTTAAATATGTAATTTCGTCAAAATTTAAGCTTCAAATTATGAAACTATATGTTTATATATTTTCAAATTTTTTTGGTACAGAATTAACTAATTACATGTAACCTTGCTTTAAATTTAAAATTTTTAGCTATATTTAAAATGCACAAAGTTTTAATCACAAAATAGTTTGGAATTTTCAATTTGATAAATTTTGTCAAAATTTGAACTTTAAACGCCAATAAAAAAAATCGTACCTACGTATTTTTAATATTTTTCAATATTTCTTACTATGCCAATTTTTCAAATTAGAACCCTTTCTTTACTGAAAATTATTTAAAGGAAAATTTTTTTGAAAATGTTGATGTGTCTAAATCAAAATTCTATTGAGAAGTTTCTAACTTATTAAAATATTTATGCTAAGGATAATAATCCTTAAAAATGGTTTTATAAAAATAATAAGTATTCGTATGATATGTTAGATGTAGTATTAATTATATTTAGATCATTTTACCAATTATTTGTTTTGATAAATCAATGGTTATTGCTAACTTTTAAAATCGTCGAAGGCCCCTCTACTTAACCTGTTACCATAGACTTATTATTCTTAAAATACGAAGTTACACAACTAAAAAACAATATCTGCTCGGTAATAAAAAATAAAAAAGAGAGGTCCTTCTTCAAAAAAACCAAAGTTTGTATTATCACAGAATCATCCTTAAATATTACAATAAAATTCAAAGATTCGAAAAATGGTCTTCAAAAGTGAATTTAAAAATTCAATAATGTATGCATAATTAAAAATTAAAATAAGACGTGTGTGCTTAAAAATTATCTTGTATAGTTCATCTAAAATTCTAAACTATAAAATAAGCCGAGTTGATCTAAGTTTATCTAATTCTAATAAACAGAAATACTTGCTAATTACTCCAGAGGAGTATGTTTTTTTTTTATTCTAACTCTGTTGGCTATCACATATAACAAAAAATGTATTAGCTTTCAGGTTTTGTTAAAAATGATATATATATATATATAAATAGTGTCTGTCGTCTAGTGTATTTATTTAATTGCTATATTCATAATTATTAAGCACTTCATCACCAAAAAATCTATTGTTTATTTCTTCAAATTATCAAACATGGCTCGCAAATAAGTTAGGTACAAAATATAAAAATGAGTCGTACTAATTGATAATATTATAGGTAATTACAAAAAATGTATTGTTATTGTTCTCACTTATTCAGTACCCCGGGTAATTTCCCGCCCGAGCCACTCAATAAAATATATGGCCTTGTACTTCTTATGTAAATAGTTTTCAATATTGGTTATACCGTTGAGAATTGTGTTTCTTATATTATAGTTTTATCAATTATCCAAGTGGACGTTCGTATTAAAATTATAGAGCTATTTATTACTTATTACAATCCAAATAAATCGATAAAACTACGAAGTAAACTGAATTAATATAATGGGTACTTTTCGTGGCAATGGTAACATTATATTATAATATACATATTGTAATAATAATTATTATTTTAAAATTTAAATATTATACAAATTATATCATCGTTATAGACCTGTGGACATGTAATGGGGGTCAGGGATTCACCAGGGGGAAGGGGGGCTGCCCGCACAGCTATTAAAATTGTAATCTATACATATTACATGTATTTACGTGTATAGATTATAAATTATTTCTCCTTATTTCTTGCTTGTTCTTTTTCCAATGTATTCATAATCAATCAGTTGAAAAAACTAGGATGGTTGCATTTAATATTTAATATTTCTATTGACTATTGAGCCTATCATTACGAATACGCATACTTAACCTTAAATCAGTTTTCATACTTATTAACGTTGAAAATGACTTGAAATTTAGCTTTATCACCAAAAGAATCCTTTGCTTGTTTCTCATAATGATCAAACATGGTTCGTAAATTAGTTACAAAATATAAAAGTGGGTATTCAATTTTATTTTTTGACAATGGTCATTCAGTAATGGATTGAAAACGTAACCAAATCCCGTTTTTTGCTACCATCATAGGTAATCCATTTTGAAGTTTGAGCGGAACTTCCGTTTTTTCACATGGTAAAATTCGAAACATCGTGATCATTTGTGACAGAACCATTTTCATTTCCAGTTCGGCGAATCGTTTTCCTGTTAAACGTTTTTAACAAAAATTGGTACTCGTTAATAATAAATATTATATACCTACATCGAGCTACGTCACATATATCAAATAATTTAAACACTTATCTTGGTAATAAACTGATATGATAATAGGTAGGTACCTATGCAAAACCGTGGTCCGTCGCCAAACGGCAAGTAAGTACTGGATTGCCTTTTCACCTTTTCTTCCGATGAAAACCTTTGAGGATCAAAGGTGTATGGATCGGGGTAATACTTTGGGTCATGATGAATACTGTTGACAGGAATCATGATCTTGGTACCCTTTTCGATTATCAACGATTCGCCGGGTACTTGGTACGTCTTCAACGCTTCCCTAAACAACGCGTTGGTCACTAAGTACATGCGTTCCGTTTCTAAAACGCACAAAATTCGGTTTTTGTTCATGAAACTGTGAATATTTATTAAAATATATTATTTACATGTACTAAACACATACATTAATACATTACACATGGATTTTTTATTTATTTATTTTATTTTTATTTTATTTTATTAAATGAATATTTACAATCTGTATACATACACATGGATTTAAAAACCATATTATCAGTCTAAGACTGATTTACCCACTAGGTAAAGATGTATTCCATCCAAATGTTAATGGTTAATTATAATATGCTATTTTACATCATGCATGAGTACATGTATGTGTGATTTTTACTTTATACCTTTTAGGTTTTGGGCTTCAATTTTCAACTTTGGAGAAAGTTTTTAAAAGCAAATTGGATCTAGTATAAGTAAAAACTCCCCAGCACTTTTCAAAATAACTGCAGGGAAAAAGAAAGAAATTAAATGAAAATCAGAATTTTGAGGCAATATTTATACCAGTATTCGACACAATCGATTTTGTATTTTATGGTTTAACTCAAAAATGTATAACCTCAGACAATTAAAACTTTCGACAAATGTTTATATTTAGCATTTATTGTAATACATACTTACTTACTTATGATTTTTTTTAAAATACATTTGAACATTGAAGTTTAAATGTTGACAAAACTTATCGAAATTACAAAAACTTGCTTATAATTTTGCAGTTTTGAAACTTATAGTATAATGTTCAACGTGTAAAGCTAAACATGGAAAATGTATAGATAACAAGGTTTCTCATAACTAGTTCATGTTGTAACAAAAAATCTAAAAATATATGAACACATGTTTTTTTTCTAAAAAATTTAATTTCAAATTTGCACAAAATTAAATACTTAAACGAAGAATAACAATTTTAGTTATTTTGTTGTCTTATAACATATTATTTGTGGTTACTAGAAATTTTAAGTTCCAACTTATATAGATAAATTTTATACACACAATGACATTTTCAAATGCATTGTTTTCAGCGAAAATCAGTTCAACCTATATTTTATTACTATTTATTAATATCAAAATAAATTGATTCAACCTACTAGCTAAGAGAGAAAGAGAGAGTGAGAGAGAGATTAATAAAAGTAAAATAAATTATTTTAATAGCAATAATACTATACAATATATAGTTATATAGACTGGCAGATCGTTTCTGAATTATTTTCGTATATAATTATTTATTCTTGGATTATCCCTTAAAAAAAAAAAAATGGTATGTGTATATATCATTGAGAAGTAATGATATTAGTTAAGGGCTGAATAGTTATAGTAAATAAAGTTTAAAAATAAAATATATTTAAAGTATATACCTAATATATTATTTCTAAAATGAATCATAGGCTCTCGCAAATTACGATCGCACTGTATGCGGCTGATAAAATGTGCTTTACAAAATTACAAAAATATGAGTGCCCAAAAACAAATGTTCAAATTAAAAATATATTAATGCTTCTTAGGTTAAAAGGGTTTTTCAACATTTTATGGTTTTTCAAAAACATATTTCATAAAGATACATGTTTATTGGAAAGGACATAATTCGATAGTTCATGTCACATATTATATTTAAAGGGTGAATGTCAATCGTAAATTCGTAACTAAATATTTTGTTATTTTAATTGCTGGAAAGTAATTTTGGATTTTGTTGGTATTCCTGAAAGTACCTATAATACTTAATTTTACTTATTAAACGCGTATGTAAACAGAAACAAATGAAATC